TCGATGATAATGATCTTCAGGAATACTGATGGCTGATAATTTGACAGCAATTAAATCTTTGGAACCAGCAATAAGACAAAATATCCAACAGACCAAAGTGAACGGAAAAGTCAGAGTTGGCATACCGACCGGAGCAAGAAAAGCCGAAACGGCTGCTTGTACAAGTACTGTCATTATCGATCCAAAGAAAGTAATGAACCAGATTTTATATCCATAGAGAACAAAAAACATACCACCTAATGCTTGACATGTCAGAACTGAATTAAAGCCCCATAATCCAGCATGAATTGCTGTTGCAGGTAGTCCCAATAGATAGGCTGCAGTTAATTGACCTGTAACGGCACCAAAAAAAGCAAAGAATGAAAGAATTCGAGAACAAATACAAAGACCGAAAAGAATAATAATGCCTGTATAAGGATTTTCGGTAAAGTAAACTTGTCCTATGCTAGTAAAAAAGCCAACAACATTGTCTTGAATAGAATAGTGAGAAAAAGATACATTCAAGAAACGAGGTTTATCAACACGTGTAGTCAACATATTAGGAGATAGTATTGTTCCATTCACAAAGAAATAACGATATTTTAAGGCACCAAGAAGCCATATCCAAGTACATATTTGAAAACTAAATGTAAATGATGAAATTTGAAGACGTTGAACAAGTATTTTACCAATGACCATAAAGACAATTGTCGAAAATATACTCATGATCACGATAGGGCCAATCATATAAGGAGAATTTGGAAAACTAAAATAACCTATTCCCATGCCTACCAGACATCCATTGAAGCCATACAATCCAGCTCGAATCGAATTATAATTAAATTTGAGCATATGAGCTGTTAACGTTGACACACATGTTCCGAGAAGGCCATATAATGCCAATTTCCAATTCTCAATCAGTAGTCCAATCATAATGATAATACCCGACAAAGGGTTATTAGCAAACATGACTTGACCAATACCTCGAAAAACTGAATCTATAAAAATAAAGATATGTTGAAACAACTTATTGCCGCAAAGAAAATCGTCCTGTGCATAGATTTCTTCTATTTCGGACATTGTTCCAATGAATGAGCGATACGATAAACGATATTTCTTCTTAGGAATTGGTCGGTATTGATTACTATCTATAAATGATTCGAATTCATCAGAATCATTTTCCAGTTGCTGTTGTCGTTGTTTTTGGAGTGTTGTAAATGAAGGAATGTTTTGTTGCTTTTTTGGATCATCATTGAAACGACTTTCTGTATTTGTATTTTGAGATGAAGGTAATGTTCTTGTTTTAGACAAACGTTCATCTTGTTTGTCATGTATATCATCTTGATCAGGATTAAGATGAGTGGAAACATTTTCTGCAGTAATACACGGTAAAGGTGTTTGTATTTCGATCGATTCCTCATTTCTTGATTGAAATCGAACATTCTGTTCTGGTGATGCGGCCACTAAAATAAACAATTTTCTAGAGTAACTGGATGCAATCTACTATATTCGTTATTTTAATGTGTTTTCATTATATTTTGACGTGTTATGCTTATATTTCTTCCACTCCACAACAAAAATCCTTATAAGAGCTCTCACATTATCATCAAAAAACAGGAAACTCTCGCATATATTGAAAAAGTTTTCAGCGCAATATATGTGGCATTTTTTAATATGAAACATAATGCAGCTACTTGAATTGTAACCGAGAACCTGCATTATATCTATTCTAATCCGTGATTAAATTACAAGAGCAGCCGTGTCGAATTCGAAATTTTTATTCCCCATATCGTAAATACCGGACAGTTTTTAGCGGTAAACCGCGGTATTTATCAAAACCGGCGGTTTACTGCGGTAAATTACAGTAATGGGAGTCGGTAACCGGACCAGTAAAACCGCGGCTAACCACCGGTTTTTATCACATGGGTCAGCTATTCGAATGCTGTTTGATGTCTACTGATTAATGTTCCACTATACTCTGGCACTGCTCGTGAAGAGAAACATCCACATAAAAACGTTCTAAATCAGTGCCGAAAAACTCTTACGACTTCAATGGGTTCAGAAACCAATAACGATTCTCACGAAGAAAATCAAATATATTGGGGCAGTTAAAAAATTTAACCACAAATTATTTAGAACATGTAACGAAAATTGATTTGAAAGTTTTGTGGGTAAAAATTTCTGTGATTGAGTCTTGCCCCTACATCTTAACCTTTTCGGAACGATCTGTGAACAAGACATCAAAGGATGATGTAATGTGTGAAATAGCATCATTAGTATGATCGTCAGTAGAAGTAGGAAGCATTGATTGAGGTTTTTCGATTTTTAGACCATCAAGGTGTATATATCATCGTTCTAAAGCAGAAATGATCAATTGTTGATTACTTTGAAATGCTGATGGTATTTCATCCGTTTTACAAACAACTATATCATTAGTCGATACTGAGGACATTGTTGTTATAATTATCGTCAACCTATGGTAAGAAAAAAGTCAATAAAATCCATGATTGATTGAAAATATTCTTTTTCGTTATTGCTTTTTACTACTTACACGTTGAGTGATGAATGATGAGTGTCAGAGAAACAAGTTAATTAAGCAAACAGATATTGAAAGGGAATGTGTTTTTAATTTATATTGACTTAAAGCTAATAAATTCAAAGATAGATAAAAAATATGATGGAGTCTATTATCTGATGAAATCGACCAAAAGTATATTTTCATAGCCTATAGCATTGAAAATGAAGAGAAAAAAAAGGTGTGCATGTGTATATGATATCATCACTAATATTCATTTGCATATCTGCTATTACCTTTCATGCATGATTTAATCATTTTGAGGGGGGGGGGGCGGTGTCCTCCTCTTAACATACCCTGAAACTTTGTCAGTTTGTAGAGGATATCTTTAATAGTATAGCTGTGCAATAGGAAAGAAATCTGTCAAATATTGACTGAGTTATTAACTAATTAATATTCTTGGTTTGAGAAGCATTTTTTAAAAATTTTCTAATTTTTCATGGGTATATTACTTTTCATTGATTCTAGTGTAGTTTTGCAGAAAATTATCTGTAGATACAATTCCAAACTGTAAAAAGTTCAAAAATGACTTCTCTAAGTATCTTTTATTTATTAATTAGTATTAATTAGTGCCAATTAATAATAATGTAGTGGAAAAAAGCAAATTTTTATAGTATTAAAATAAGTAGAACGAAATTGTTTTTTATATCATTTGATAGAGCTTTTCAAGCTCTATCGAATGCTATATCCCTTTCCTTTGAAAACTTCCATTTTTGAAGAAAAAAATTCGATATTAAGAACAACATGCGACAAAACCGGTTTGTATTAGGCAATTTTCACCATTATACTTTTCTTTACAGTCAAAATAAATACAATATTCGGAATCAGCCCCAAAAAACGATCCAGAAAACATTCTTTTTTCCTACAAAAAAAATTTTTCACCGAAATCGGATGTCCAGGTAGCCACAGACGAAATCATACTTGAAAACGCTGAGGGGGTATACGGGCATGATTTTGACAGAATTTTTTTGTGAAAAAAAATATGTTTTTTTGGTCAATTTTTGGTGCTGATTCCGAATACCGTATTCATCTTGACCATAAAGAACAGTATAATGGTGAAAATTGCCTAATACAAACCGGTTTTGTCGCATGTTGTTCTTAATATCGAATTTTTTTCTTCAAAAATGGAAGTTTTCAAAGGAAAGAGATATAGCATTCGATGGAGCTTGAAAAGCTCTATCAAATGATATAAAAAACAATTTCGTTCTATTTATTTTAATACTATAAAAATTTGCTTTTTTCCACTACACTATTATTAATTGGCACTAATTAATACTAATTAATAATTAAAAGATACTTAGAAAAGTCATTTTTGAACTTTTTACAGTTTGGAATTGTATCTACAGATAATTTTCTACAAAACTACACTAGAATCAATGAAAAGTAATATACCCATGAAAAATTAGAACATTTTTTAAAAAATGCTTCTCAAACCAAGAATGTTAATTAGTTAATAACTCAGTGAATATTTGACAGATTTCTTTCCTATTGCACAGCTATACTATTAAAGATATCCTCTACAAACTGACAAAGTTTCAGGGTATGTTAGGAGGAGGACACCCCCCCCCCCCCCTCTTAATGAAGCATTTTCTATCCCCTTATCCTTGCTTGTCGTACTTTTCCATTTTGATACAAGCACACTAAAAAAAAAGCCAGTGTAGGAAACTTATACTGTTGAGTTCTTACTAGTTTCAAAATGCTCGAAGTTCGATAATAGTGATTTATATCGTATTGTCTTGAATCTCTCGAAGAAAATAATTTTACAATCGACTTTGATATTAAAAATTACAAATGATTCTATGTTCATATTTGCTGAATAGAAAGAGAAAACTATCACGTATAGTTAATGTTACTCTTATATTCTACTTTTGTCGAAATGGTTGAGCAATATCAAAACTTTTTTCTCTTCCTATTGTTTAAGCTTTTACTATTATTTTTTTATTTAGTAAAGTTGCATCAACGATGTTGACTTCATCAGATTATTTAGTTATAAGGTGTGGGTGTGGATACGAATCGTCTTTCCACTCGCATCCACATCCACACCCTCAATCAAACCCTCAATGTCTGCTAAACTGATGTTTTTCTTTCTATTGAATCACGATTGTATTGCTTTTACAAGATTTTCATCAGTATTAATATAAGTTTGGTGTTCAAACATCATGAGAAGATTATTTAACTTATTCAGTTACGAACTACATAGCATAAATTCACAAGCATAAGTCAGAGGAAAAAAATGTAATCCAGCCTAAACTTATCTATTAAGGTGTTTTTAGACAACTGAAAGATTAGAGAAGAGCCCGCCGACTTCTTTAATATAACTGTAGATTCCATCATAGATGTAAGCTATTAGGATTACCAAATCGATATTTTCGAAACCAGGAGTTCACTATGAATTTTTTTTAATCAGGAGAAAAACCAGGAAATTTTTTCGAAAAATAGAAAGCATTCAGTGGTATTTTGCAGAGGATAGTTTGCATTTTTGTTCGCGTAAACGCTCATTACTGTCTTCTAATAAAGGAATTATAGTAAATTTTTCAAACAAACGAGATTAAAAACGAGAAATATGATCACACGTATTTTTATATTATTAATCTTTTCATAGACACGCATGAAAATATACAAACAAAATAAACATTTAGAAAAAAATAAGTCATCTGCTGTAGAGTGTGCGGTATTTTTGCAACATACGAGTATCACATTGGGATGTTAAATCATTTTTCTTGTTGGTTAAACATGTCACTAAGAGTCGAGATGAAGAAAAAGCAAGAATCAGTAGAAAATCTTGGAAAACACCGCCTGCTACTAGAAAAAAGCCTAAAAAAACCAAGATTCTTCTGAATAAATCAGAAGGTTTGGTAACCCTAGTTGGAACTTATCACATTGGGCAGTATCTCAGATGTGAGATATACTGGTTAAAACTAAGTATACATTTAAATATTTTGAGGATAATTTATTTTTTTTTTTGAACGAAAATGTTTATATTTTATATGTCATTAAAATAATAGTTATTTACACATCATTTTTTGAATAATTAATTTCATTAGAGTAAGCACAGCTTTTCTAAAAACACTTCCACCAGTAAGAGTATTAACATAAAATGGCATTCCCATTGCAAAATAAGTAGAAATCAAAGCAACTTGATAAATAAAATCTTCAATTGTTATTTGTAATGCAGATTTTGAAATATACATTGTTAATGTTGCATAAAGTTTTTGAATTGCAAGTGGTAAAGTAAAGAAACCAAAAAGAATAACTTGTACATAAAGAATTATAAGTAAATGTCGATCTGTTTTTTTCGGTTGTCTTGGATTGTGAATTGTCTGTTTTGAAAAATTCATAGCAGTTATAGTCATAGCTCCAACACGACGTCGAGTTTGACGCATATTTGATATAGTCATCCAACCAAAAATTGAAATACACATTAAAGGAACAAGAATAGCAATTATTGCAAATGCTAAATCATTCATTAATCGACATTCAATATTTCTTGTAAAACATTTTAATGGTGTACCAATAAGATTAGCTTCGTAACAATAAAAAAGTTGAGAATGTATAAGAATTGATATCATTGTAATAATAGTTATGCCTTTTAAAGAATTTTTCATTGAACTCGTATGTCGACGATGAACATCCAAACATGATAAAAGCCATCGATCAACAGTAGCTAACATAATTAACCAAAAAGTAACTGCTCGTGATGTAAATAAAATAAAACCACGAAATTTACAAATCCAATTAACTGTTGCTGATAAATCACTTGCTACACCAGACAATACTCGAGAAGTAAGACCGGATAGTATTGCAATAATACCAGCAGTTGAAGATCCAAGAAAAATTATTACACATGGATTTGAGCGAAGAGGTCGTTGAGATAATACCAAAATATTTAGAATATTACCAACAATACCAAATGTAAATATAAACATACCAAAATAAAAATTTATTTGAGCAAGAGTATTCTTTAAATAAGCAATAAGTACAACGTCAGACGATGAAGTTGACATTATATTGATTTTTATATAAATCTACCACTAGAAATAATTGTAGCAATGATAATGACAGACCTTTGAAAATTTGATTATTTTATTTATGGCAAGGTAGACATCTATATAGAAAGAAAAAACAATATTATGAATTTATTCTTTCACGGTATTCATGACAATTCTATAACACATCGTTGCATCTCACTGTCACGCAGTGTATAATTATGGACGACATGTCTTTTGAGCACGAAAAAAAAGACAATTGAGCATTAAATTCAAACATGTAAGATAAGAACAAAAAAATTTTATATTAATAACAAAAAACAACAAACAGAATGCATAATAGAAATGAGTACTAAATCAATATACAAAAAAGAATGAAAAGTCCATTTTATAATAATAAAGCACTTCGTACTTTTCTTGCTCGTCGTTTACCTAAAAGTTCCGAACGAGTTTGATCAGTTAATTCATAATGTTTTAGTAATATTACTGAGCCAATTGAATGTTTGTATCAGTATAACTTCGTGCCAATTGGACATGTACATGATTTGAGTGGAGAAACTAGCAAGCAGGATGTAGATGTAAGGAGAGAATCTTCTCGCCCACTCATACCCACACCCACACCCTTGATTAGCTTTATCGAGTGTTTGGACGATATTCAAAAATTGATATGCAACGTTACTCGTTTGCGTACCATAATTTACAAAAAGGAATGAGATTACACAATTTGAATTGAGTTTGTCACAACTTAGCATCTATTTATATCCGAAAAATACGTTAATTCTTTTAAAATGGAATTGATGTGTCTCTTTAATATCTTTTTTTTCATTTGGTGCCCAATTATCTTATTTTTTGGTGCTCACTTGTCTTAATTTTTGATGCTCTTTTCACCTA